ACTTTTGCTTGATGATGGACAACTGTCGGCAACTCTTATCATTATTATTGAAGTCTTTTTAATAACAATCTTTGTAATGGTTCGTTGCAGTCTTGCAGCTATATTTTTATACTTCCAAGAAGTGATAGACCTGTTTAAAGTTATTATGTTACATAATGTTGTTTAGCTTCTGTAAAATAAATTTACCTCAGTGAAAGTAAGTTTAGGACTAACAGAGAATTCAGAACAACATTTGTTTTGCACAATGACCAAATGTTGGCGATCTGCAGAATACTGTTAAATGCCCCTAAAAAATTGGTTTATTTTGTCGGTTACAAAGCCATTTATGAACATTTCAAAACAGCTTAAATCTACTCACCTAATTATCTTAACAAGTAACATTTTTTTCTTCAGAAGTTTATTTTTAACAGTACGTTATGGGGAAGCACAATTTGATCTACATGTATGTTGAAGCAATTATCACATTTAAACTGAAAGAAAGCTGCAAGAGTTTTTCACTTATTGCAATATGATGGAATTAGAAAATGCAGCATTTTAATGTTGAAATGATGTTGTCAAAAAATTAGAAACATCAGGATCACGAAAAAAAAGAAAAAAAAATCCGCTGATTTTGAAGGATGAATTGCAGCTATAATTCAGTTATTATTGAAATCATGTAATGGATAGTGTAGAAAAAACCACATTAATTTGTGATGATGATGTGTTGATGTTGTAACTTGTAGATGATTTTGCAACGGAATTTCCAGGAATGTAAGTGCCGTCGTCGTGAACGGATGTACTTTTTTGTTGGAAAAGTATAGTTTCGTAAAATTTATAGTGCACCACTAGAGGATGTATGAGTTGTTAATTTAGGAAAAGTTTAGCTGATAAACAAAAAAAGATGATTTTTGGAGATTGCTCATAGACCTTTTTTAGAACTGTTTAATACAAGACACTTGAAAACTGTTGAAGTAACATCAGAATAGAAGTATGAAAATTTATTAAATTTTTTAGACAGAATAGCGGAGAAAAATCTTTTAGATTGCTTAGAAATGATAGTTTGTAATCAGTGATCGTTGTTATAATGAGTCACTTGAAGTTATTGTCACCGCTATTTTGTCCGTATCACCACTGTGCATTTTAATTCTTAAATACTATAGCTATTATGCTGAGTTTCAATAATGGCCATTAATGACTGTTCAACCAAAAAGGTTGGTAGCCTTCGATACGCCGCTTATTATACGTGATTCATACGATCCATAAAAATTTTTTCATGTAGTTTTTTATGGGTCTGTTAACTTTGAATAACTTTTTAGTCAGTTATGTGTGTTAAAAAAAACTTTACCCAATTTCTGCCTTTCTACGCTTTCATCTTTCTACGTTCGATGGGCTAGAATTGACCAGAATGTTGGAAAGCTGAATATCGAAACAGGATCTTGGAATAAAAAAATCTTATTTTCCAGAGTTGTTTTGTGTTAACAGCAAAATCATAAGATTGAAGCAGATGTTTTCGTATTCGAAAGCAAAAAATTTGATCTTGAAAAAAAAAAGATTTTGACAATTCAATGTTGACAGGCAGAATTGCTAATTTTTCCAGAATTTGCCGTCAAAAACGATGGCAAAAAAAGGAGAAAAAAGCAAGCAATGTACGTTAATTATGGAATCAGTGCCACGGAAGACAGCAGCAGAGATGTAACCAAAAACCTGAAATTATGATAGACTGCATCGGTTGCGCGGCAAAACAAAGAGAAAATGAATACATGGCTAAATTACTACCATCCCATTACACAAATAAGCCAAACGGATAACAAAATTTTACAGGACGGATTCGGAGAATCTAAATAAAACGGCAAAAAAAAGAGCAAAAAAAAAGTTGATTGCAAATTATGGCTGTGTAAGATAACGGTTTGTCTGTTTATTGTTTCTCCAAAAATCCAGTGAAATACTGTTGCTCAACCAGAAATAGAGTGCATTTGGAACAATATTTATGCCGAATTTTTACGACATACATAAAAATACAGCCATTTTCAAAGTGCAAATCTTAAAAACAAATTTGAAGCTTAGTTATTCAACACAATTGGGTTTAGATGATCTTAACGTCATAACTACATCACGTAGCCCTTGGCAGCCAACAGGTGTATGACTAACATCAGTATTTTCAACAAAAAAATCTTTTTAACTATAAAATTAGCTTACGATTAAGCTATACAGTTCACTTATTGATAGTACTTTGCTGGAATAAAGTGTTTGAAAAGTAGCAATGATATAATGCTGCTTTAAAATCATCGAGAAAACATCAAATACAGTTACCAGTGTTCAATTTATTTGGAATATTGAGAACCAGAAAAAAAAATACTGTAAACAGAAAACTTGTAGTTTATAATTTAACTTATGAAGACAACAATTAAAAATAGATGCTTGTTTAATATTCATCATTTACATCTATGATCGTAACAGCTGTTGCCCAAAGACGAGTTCTTATCCTTGAAAATTTTAGTTGAAAGCCCGATTATTTAGTGGTAAACCACTTTTTTAATTCCTTGGTTTTTTTTTCTGTTTCTTCAATTTTGGTTTCTTTATTTTATTTTTTTTTTTTATTTTTTGTTTTTTGGCTTTGTTTTCTCAATAACAAACAATTTTAGGGTTTTTCTTATTGATGACTATCTGATATATTTCTAGCCTAAAAGTTGAGCTTTGTTTAACGTTTATCGAGTGGATCCTCTTGCACTTTACTGCTCACCGTTCACTGTTGAAAAAAATATTACATCCTGAAAAATTCTGGTTAATTACAAGAATATTAGTCTATTTTAGCAATATCAACGCAACTTCGCCGTAATCCTTCACCTAAACATGATTCTTCAATTTGCTTTTTTTTCTTTTCTCTTTGTCGCTCATCAAAATTAGACGGATGTTTTAGTGTGTGTGTGTGTGTGTGTGTGTTTTTTTTTTTATTTTTTCCATTCTTTTTTTTTTGTCGTGCTTCCTTTTGCAAGATCCAATATCAAACATTGCTGATATGGCGCATCAGGATTGGCCTTGAGACGGACTTTACGTAAAGAAAACGAATCCGAAAAACAAGGATGCAACCAAAGACGATCAGGATTGCAAGCAAACAAGCGACAACCACTGTTCTGCATAGCCGCCCCAACAGCTTTTTTGATGCGTAACGTTGCGATGGCGTGCGATGCAGCAAAACTGTAAAGCAGACAAAAAAAA